GGTGCAACGCACATATAGGGATCTCTCTCTTTCTGCCCCCCACCCCCTGCCTTACACATGCACATATATACAGTGTGCAATATAACTTAAGTCAAATCAATTATAACCGGCAGTGTCTTTAAGATGTCACCTGGAATTGTAATCACGTGCTTCATTATTTGTATTTTTACAGTGTTAATTCATTAGTCTTTGCCAACACTCATAGTTTGTGGTTGCCTGCGTGATATGTGTGCCTTTTGGCAGCGCGTGCCACACCACAGTGTAAGGTAATGCTCATCAGCTGTTTTTTTAAGTTCACCATCTGTAGATGAGGAGATCAGCATCAGTTGTCAGGCGCTGCTGCTTATCAGAGCTCAGCTGTGAGGAACAGCGCCCCCTGCTGCGCACCTGGGACACAGGTGACGTCATGGATTAGAGCAGAATCCCCTCCACACACATACACACAAGCACACACAAGCACACGCACACACACACCACGCACCATCCACCTAAGGTTGACTTTATACACAAGGAGATGCAGCAAGAAGCAGGTAGTTTGTATGAACTAATTATAGATGGATAGATAGAAAGATACCTCAAAACAAAGAGAAAAATCATAAAAAAACAAGCGAGAACATTTTCATAATTTTTTTTCCATACAACTATTATTTACAAATGACATTGTATACATCACAAGGAATCTATTAATCTGACAATAATGTTTTCAGTTATTCAATCTTCGTTTAGTCTACTAATCACAAAAATATAAATAAGAATGCCCATCACAACTTCACAGTCAAACGTAATGTTTTTTTTTTTTAACTAATGTCCGAATACCCACAATATTCAGTTTAAAATAGCATATGAAGGCAAGAAATCCTCTAATTGCATTCATTTTTCAAGCAAAAAAGAATACTGAAAATAAAAGAATAATTTATTCATTTTGTGTGGATCGATTCATGTCCTGAGGACATGAACAAGTGGTGCTCGTTTACTTGCCTGTGGATTTAATTGTGTGCATCTTGGAATACTTTAGAAATAAATATGTGATCCAAAAAGCATGCAAAGCCTACATATAGAGGAACAGGTCACAAAACACAGTGGTTATAGAACAACTTACTTTTTTTCTTTCAAACAGAACTCAGAAACAAAAACAATTGGTTTTAAAATTCAGAAGTACATGTAGCTCTATCAAAAACCTGTAAACAGATATATAGGGATGTTCTACAAAGCAACAATAATGTCTTGCAAGTCCTTTGAATGATAATATGGTTGTTCACAGTTTGTGTTTATGTTGTTGGCAAGGTGCTTCCTGAGGAACCAAACGTCTGTTTCTACCCGACTCTAAGGAGCGATTTACTGCCCCATTCTTTATACGTGTTGTCTTTTTGTCGGTCTCTCGTCCTGATATAGTATAAGCATCCTGCATCAAAAATGGCAAAATGATACTGTAATACAAAAGTACATAAGCCAGTCTTATTGCAGAAGGTACAACTCATTTACTTCAGGATAAATAGATCTTTAGGGATAAAGTGTTGATTGAGGTATTTCAAAGTACTGTACTACTGATGATTACTTAAATTAAAATGTATTATATTTAAATGAAATGTGTTTCACTTGCATGACTATTTGTACAATACTTACAATGTCAGTATAGTATACTTGAATGTAATGTGAATGTGATTTGATTTAATCATTTCAAAATGCTGATTTAAACATTTATCATTACCATTTTGGAAAAACATCACTCATTTGCAACCTTTTGCTGTCAATACAAGTCAAAATATTGATGAAAAGTTTCAGATAGCAATCTAAAAATAGCATTTGCTGACAGTGATTGTTGTATCCTGCATTGTCCTTTTAAACATTGGCAACATTTGCAGCACCTACTGTACATCCCTGCACATTTTCAGTTATTAAAAAGGTGATGAGGACACAGACCATTTCACATCCAACATTTGGGCTGCTTCCATGTCTGTGACCTCCTCCTCCTCCAGCAGCTTCTGAACAAAGTCAATGGTGGGCGGGTCTTCGCTCAATTTTCAGCCCTTTCCAAATGTCAGAGCGATGATCTCGAGTTCCCATTGGCTCCTGTCTGAAAACACGTCACAATCATGATTAGAATTGATGATCGGACGTTCTGATTTCATTGTCTAGCAAACGGGACTGGTGAAGAAATCTGCTGAATTTGAACGTCCGTCTGATTTTGACATCAGAAATGGTAAGTAGGAAAGTGGTTTTACTTTTTCACTTCGGGAATACCCCGGCTGTTCTTGTTCGTGCCTTCTCGACTGCAAGGTTTGCGAGAATGCTCATGCCAGGGTCGGGAAATCAGAGATTTTAAGGAAAAGTTTAGCTGCAGCTATCCATAGGGAAAGCTATGCTAAGGCTAGCTAACGTTAGCTGACTCGGATATGGCCGCCCGGGCCTGCAAGCTAAGCTGTTTGTACGGCCATTGTGGAGATGAATGCGGCGCTTACCCAGTTTGTTTACTGTCTGGCTCGCAGTCGTAAAGTTACAGCATGTGCTTCCTGTGTGGAAATAGTGTTTCTGAGTCCCCATGCTGCTGTCTGGCTGGCATACTTATCTGACGTGAACACAATTTGTTCGCTAATTCTCTCAGTAATGTCTCCATATTGACTGTAGCCATGCGCAGTCAGCCTGCCAAAAATAAACCTGCTGCTGGATGCCTATTGGTTGCACAACAATCCCGTATGTGACATTTCTGTCTTTATCAAAGCCTAGTAGGCTACTGCTGTTTTTCAAACTTAGTCACCGAGTTTCCAGCTTTGTGATAGTACAAGAGTTTTTATTTTAACCGGGCTGGTTTCTCTTTTTCCTCCCTCGTTTACTTTGTGTATAAACACAACACACATGTGTAACTCGTTTTCATAACAATGGACCCCTTTTATAAGAATAGCTGTTGTCTTTACATATAAAGCTACAAGCTAGCTCAAGCTTCTTTGACTGTCACCGGCTCTTCATTGTTTATACACACATTTATTACTATTAAGAATGTTACAACTACATAATACTCACTTCTGCTTTGATTGTTAAGTGTATCCTTTTCTATAAACAAGAACAATTTGCACAACAGCTACTTTGCACAATTCTAATTTCCCAATGTCTATATTTCTATATATTGCTGTTGTTTAGTGAAATTGTTTATTGTCTATTCTTTATATTTTGTATTATTTAGATACTCTTGTGATAAGTGTCTGTTCTACTGTGAAAATGAAAACTTTTGCTGTTAATGTTAATAATTAACTAATGTGTAATGCTTGACTTGACTACACTGCTGCTGTGACAAAATAATGTCCCTATATGGCAGTGGTTCTCAAAGTGGGGGGCGCGCCCCCCCAGGGGGGCGCAGAGGCATGACAGGGGGGGCGCGAGAGACCAGGAGGAAAAATGGTTATAAAATTTAATTATGATCCCGAGAAAAGCCTTATGTTGTGAACTATATATGAGTGTTAAGACGTCCGGGCAGGAAGACACGGTGCGTAGGTAAGACGATTGACCTCCCCTTACCCGTCGGTACCGTCTAGGGTCGTTTCGGAGGTAACAAAGATCAATTCGTGGTTTGAAACAAAACAATGAGTAGCCACGGAGTACATGGACCGTGTGACGGCCCAATACACCGACGCCTCTCCTCTTTTCTGTCTGTTGGGCTTTCACAATTTATTTTTCTGTTTAATTAATTAGATAGGTACAGTGATAACTCGTACGAAGACATGAATGTTCATTATCTGCTATTCCTTAGAAATAGTCAAAGTAGGTTTGACATCTGGTTGTCAGATTTGACACAGTATTTATTGTAATGTCGTAAACTTTTTCTTCGTACTTCGTAATACCCGACATTTTGTATGTTTGTCCGACAGTCAGTTCATATTATTTGACTCTGTTCGGTGCACAATAATAGTTATTGTGATAGGTTAGTACACAAACAACACGGATGGTAAAGATCCAGTAGGTAAACTTTCGGTGACGGCGACTTTACACAAGGGAACGTTATTGGTGATCTACTAAGTGTTGATACATAATTTACGTAACCAATTTCCCCATTTTCCGTGTCACTCAATTAGGTAATGAGACACCGTATTTTTTGTTGTGTGTTACCTAATACTCGAAGTTCGATTAAGGCACTTCGGTGAATTGCTTATATTCTGTCGGATCTATCTATAAATTAAGTAGGGTATATACGTCACACAAGAGGTTTGAAAAAGACATCCGGGGGGGAAACCTCTTTTATTTTTCAGCCCGGGGGTTGTTTTATCAGTCCGAGTCACCGCCGGCGGTCTCTAAGATAAAACCCCCACGACACCCATCGACCTGCAAAGTATGCTCCCCCGCGAGTTTGTAAATCCCAAAGGGTAATTACATGACCAGCGATGTCACCTTTAAAGAATGACATAGTGTTAGGGGTGTGTGTGTGTGTGTCACATGGCGCTGACAATGTTACTCTCCGAGCTATTAGTCGAGTGCCGTATATCCCATTACGTCCCCATTTCACAATAAAAATAAATCCACCACACACCTGAGTGTATCCATTCCAGTCCCCCGTTCGAGGGGACCCTTCTAAGAATTTATACTTGCAATTTTCGTAGTTAGACCAACGTAGAAACTCTCGTTGTCCTTTCTCTAGATACCTATGTAGAGGTTGTGGTAAACTTTGTCTTTGACATTTGTCTAAATGCAAGAATATACCTATAAAATGTTTAGTAGGGAAAAATTGCAATAAGAAAATTACAGTATATCATAAGTATGGACAAAAAAAATAAATAAGGAATAAAAAATATTGATATTACTAGTATATTTGCACCACCGGAGCTGTTATTAACAAATGTAATTACCACCTGGTTTTGCAAACTCTGGGTGACCTCTATTGTGACTCTCAGGAATCGAGTGGACTCAGAGAGTAAGACTGTCTCTCGGAGAGGAGGTGGAAACAACAACTTTTCGAGCGAATATAGGCAATCGCATCGGCGATCGTGAGTCTTCCGATTGTGTTGCTAGAGGCCATGGACCACGCGAGAGTGAGCGCGTAGCGTGTGTTTTACGAGCAAGTGTGTGTGTGTGTCTCCGGGTTTAAATATACTTTTGTGTCTCTGGAGTCTGCATTATCATGACATATTATAATAAAGCTTAGTTATTAAAAATTTTTGAAAAAAA